AAATCATCTATATAAATTGTAAATAATTGCAGTCCCAACACCGATCCCTGAGGCACACCACTAGTCACTGACTGCCAGCTAGAATAGCACTCATTTATCCCCACTCTTTGCTTCCTGTTAGTCAACCAATCCTCTATCCATGCTAATACTTTACCCTTAATGCCATGCATCCTTATCTTGTGCAGTAGCCTCTTGTGCGGCACCTTGTCAAAGGCCTTTTGGAAGTCTAGGTACACCACATCCACTGGGTCCCCATTGTCCACCTCGCTCGTAATGTCTTCATAGAATTCCAAAAGATTTGTCAAGCATGACCTGTCCTTCATGAACCCATGCTGCGTCTGCCCAACGGGACAATTTCTATCAAGATGCCTTGCTATTTCTTCCATGATAATAGACTCAAGCATCTTCCGCACTACAGAGGTTAAGCTAATTGGACTATAATTCCCCATCTTTTGTCTACTTCCCTTTTTAAACAGTGGCATCACATTTGCTGTTTTCCAATCTGCTGGGACTGCCCCAGAGTCCAGCGAATTTTGGAAAATTACCGCCAGTGCACCTGCTATTTCTCCCGCCATCTCTTTTAGTACCCTGGGATGCATTTCATCAGGGCCAGGAGACTTATCAATCCTTAGCTCCATTAGCTTGCCCAACACTACCTCTTCCTTAATAATGATTATTTCCAGGTCCTCACCTACCTTCGTCTCTTTGTCAATTATTGGCATGTTATTAGTGTCCTCCACTGTGAAGACCGATACAAAATACCTGTTCAGGTATTTACCTTCGCAGGTAAAAAGAGGACTGACAAGTGGAAGACTTTCAAAAGTGTGGAAAATGACAGTTCAGAGGCATTATTTTCCTGTTAGTGAAAGGTAATTAGGGAACAATGGATGAATAAAGATATTGAGGTCCGAGCCAAGAATAAAAATAGAATCAGATATAGACAATTGGAATCAAACAAATATCTTGAAGAGTATAAACAGTGTAGGAGCATTTTTAAGAGGGAAATCAGGAGAGCAAAGAGCCTTTGTAGATAAGGATAATCCAAAGATATTCTACAAGTACATTAAGAGCAGAAGAGAAACTAGAGAGAGAATAAGGCCCCTCAAAGATCAACAAGGTCATCTGTCTGTTGAATCTTAGGAGATGGGAGAGATACTAAATGAATATTTTGCGTCAATTTTTACTGTGGAGAAAGAAATGGATGCTAGAGAACTCGGGGAATAAATATTGATGCGTTAAAAACAGTTCCCATTACAGAAGAGGAAGTGCTGGAGGTCTTAGAAAATATAAAAATGGATAAATCTCTGGGACTTGATCCCAGGACATTGTGAAAAGTTAGGGAGGAAATTGTGGGGCCCCTTGCAGAAATATTTGTGTCACCTTTCACAATGGCTGTTGCCGGATGACTGGACAGTGACTGATGTTGTGCCTTTGTTCAAGAAGGGATGCAAGGAGAACACTGGGAACTGCAGACCTGGCAGTCTGACTTCAATGATGGGTAAGTTGTTGGAGGTGTTCTGAAAGTTAGGATTTATACGAACTTGGAGAGGCAAGGAATGATTAGGGATTGTCAGCATGGTTTTGTGCAAGGGAAATCATGTCACACAAACTTGATTTTTTTGAGGAAGTAACCAAGAAGATCGATGGGGGCAGTGCGGTGGACATTGTTTACTTGGACATTAGTAAAGCCTTTGACAAGGTTCTGTGTGACAGACTGATTGGTAAAGTTAGATCACATGGGATTCAGGGTGAGCTTGCCAATTGGATACAAAATTGGCTTAATGACAAGAGTGGTCGTGGAGGATTGTTTTTCAGACAGGAGGCCTGTTACCACTAGTGTTCCACAGGGATCGGTGCAGAGTCTACTTTTGTTTGTCATTTGTATAAACGATTTAGATGAGAACATAGAACACGATTAGTAATTTTATGGATGACACCAAAACTTATGGCGTAGCGGACAGTGAAGAAGGATATCTAAGATTACAAAAAGATTTGATCAATTGGATCAATGGGTTCAAGAATGGCAGATGGAATTTAATGTGGATAAGTGTGAGGTATGTGGTAAAACAACAAAGGCAAGACTTATACAATTAATAGTTGAGCCTTGGGTAGTGTTGTAGAACAGAAAGACCTAGGGATTCATGTGCATAATTCTTTGAAGTTTGCTTCACATATAGACAGGGTGTTTAAGAAACACGTTTGCCTTCATTGCTCAGTCCTTTGAGTACAGGATTTGTTAAGTCATGTTGAGGTTGTACAAGACATTGGTGAGACCTCTTCTACAGAACTGTGTCCAATTTTGATCACCCTGTTATTGGACGGATATTATTAATTGGAGAGGGTTCAGAATTCAGAAAAGATTTACCAGGATGTTTCCAAGATTGGAGGGTTTGAGTTATAGGGAGAGACTGGGACTTTATTTCACTGCAGTGTAGGAGGTACAGCAGAGACCTTATCAAGGTTTATAAAATCGTGAGGGGCATAGATAAGGTGAGTGGCAAGTGTCTTTTCCCCTAGGGTTGGGGGATTTCAAGTCGAGGGGGCTTTTTTTTTTTTAAAAAAAAAAAGGTTAGAGGAGAAAGATTTAAGAAGACGACGAGGGACAATTTTTAAAAAATACAGTGGTTTTTATGTGGAATGAACTTCCAGAAGGAGTGGTGGAGGATGTGGGTACAGTTACAACATTCAAAAGATATTTGGATAAGTACATGAATGTGAGATGTTTCAAGGGATATGAGCCAAGTGCAGGCAGGTGGCGCTTGTGTAATTTGAGATTATGGTCAGCATGGACTGGTTGGACTGAAGAGTCTTTTTCCCATACTGTCTCTCTCTATGACTAAGATTTGACAGTCAATTATTAAGGATGAGATTGCAGAGTAGTTGGATATGCATGGTAAAATATGGCACAGTCAGCAAGGCTGTGTCAAGGGGAGGTCATGCCTGACAAATCTGTCAGAATTCTTTGTGGTAACAAGCAAGTTAGACTTCTCGACCTTCAACAAGGTGCCACACAGGAGGCTGCTGAATAAGATTCCATGGCATTAGAGACAAGGTACTGGAATGGATAGAGGATTGACTGACCGACAGAGGCAAAAAGTAGGGGTAAGGCTGACTTTTTCAGGATGGTAGTCAACAACGAATGGAGTTCTGCAGGAGTCAGTGTTGGGACCACAGCTATTCACGTTATACATTAAGGAACTGAGGACATTTTTGCTAAGTTTGCAGATTACACAAAGACATGTAGAGAGATAGGTAGTGTTGAGGAAGCAGGGAGGCTCCAGAATGACTTTGACATGTGCAGTGAGCGGGCAAAGCAGCAAATGCAATGCAATGTGGGGACATGAGGTTATTTGGTTGGAAGAACAGAAACATAGGTTATTTTCTAAATGGGGAAGGGCTTCAGAAACCTGAAGCAAAGGGGTCCTTGTTCAGGATTCTCTTAAGGTTAACATGCAGGTTTATTTTGCAGTTAGGAAGGCTAGTACAATGTTAGCATTCCTTTCACAAGGGCTAGAAAACAAGAGCAGAGATGTACTGCTGAGGCTGTATAAGACTCTGGTCAGACCACATTTGGAATATTATCTGCAGTTTTGGGCCCCATAATCGAAGGAAAGATTGCTGGCATTGGAGGAGGTCCAAAATGATCCTAGGTATGAAGGGTTTGTCATATAACAATTTTGGGTCTGGACTCAGAAGGTTGGGAGGGATCCCATTGAAACTTACAGAATACTGAGGGGCCTGGATAGAGTTGATGTGGAGATGATGTTTCCACTAGTAGGAGAGACTAGGACCCAAGGGCACAGTCTCAGGGTGAAGGCACGACCTTTTAGAACTGACCTGGGGCAATTACTTCAGCCAGAGTAGTGAATCTGTGGAACTCATTGCCACAGAAGGCTGTGGAGGCCCAGTCACAGTATATTTAAGATAGAGATAGATAGGTTCTTGATTAGCAAGGGGATCAAAGGTTACAGGGTAATATATCAGCCATGACTGAATGATGGAGCAGACACAATGGGTCAAATGGCCTCATTCTGCTCCTATAACTATGGCCTTACAGATATGTTCTATTGCTTTATCAGATATTGTATGCAGAGATGCAATAGCATCACATCCTTTACATCAGAAGGTATTGTGCGTGTAGTATGAGTCATGTTAATACTATAAGCATGTTTTTTTAGAACCCCTTTTCACCCTGGATGTAGTGGTGGAGTGGCACAAGCAAGGATAAAAATAAAAATTGTAGAAGCTGACTATGTCTACATATTATGTTAAAATGTCTAACAGATGACAAGACCAAGGATGAACTCCTGGCATGCATCTCAACTGACCATTCAAGCAAAGAGATCCAACAACCTCTGAAGTTAAATTTAGTTACTGATCTGATGAACTGTCAAATGCCCATATTGTCTCTAGATTATATTTGACAAGATTATAATCAGATAATCTGATAAAGTAGCACTTTAAGTTATTAGTGAGATTTCAGTTGAGATTATTCACACACACCCTTAGGAACTTGAACCCCTGGCCATTTTAAAGGGGGAAGAGAGCACTGCTTTTGATCCAGACTAAGAGCTTCTTGCAGCCTTTGAAGTGGCAATAGTCCCAGATCAGGAAACAACTAAACAAGAAATTAAACACTGCAGATTGTAAATCACAAACAGCTGTCTAAAACCATGGTCACTGACCAACAACGAATCCTTTTCATGAAAAAAAACTTTTATTCCAATACATTTCCAAATGTTCCATTAATTGTTTGCCTCTGTACATTCAAGAGCAGAACGTAAAGTCTAGTCAGCCATTCTTCCTATACCAGTGTCCCAATTTACTTTCAATTAAGACTTATAATTGGAAATTAACATCAGGTATCTATTGCCTTGGGACTATGTGCAGTCTTAAAATATGTTGCAATGATGTTCCTCAATTAAGTACAAATGCTAGCTTTCCAGTTCAATGGCTGTGCATCAAATATACACAGTACAGCTACTCTTATTTCCATTCAGTAACATTTGCACTCAAGTTAAAGTGTGTTGTGACATTTTTGCCCATGAATGGAGAAGTCACAGTGGATTTTGCAAACATTAGTTAGTCTCAACCCTGCTAACTAGTAAGTTTCACCAGAGTCGGCAACTCTGAATCAATTTTTTGATAGATTTAATACTCTCCACGTTTGCATTTTTGAGGGCCAAGGCAAGTAGCACTGGTTTGTTCCCAGACTCCTCAGACACAAAAGTCACAAGGTGCTTTGCATAAACATGGATTAGAGGCTGTAAAGAAAGAGACAATAAAAGTATTGTAAGTATTTACAGAACAATAATGTGAACACTTAGCAACATACAATTTAAAGCTGAAATAAATAGGACAAACATTCAATTGAGAAAGTGGAAGACAACTGATGAGAAGGAAGATAGTCGAGTGCCCTGATAAGATACATAAATGGTAATACTCAAGGTCACAGTATATGGTTGAAGTTCCTGAATAGCTGATTAGACAATCAGAATACAACCAGTGCTAATAAGAAACATAGTCAAAGCTTTTCACCTTGTATTCACCAGGATAATAATGTCATCTGGACTAGTGCAAAAAGCAGTGAACTGAAGAGATTCTATTTATACAGCATGAGAAGAGGGTGCTAATTGGTTGGACTACCATTGGTATGTACGTATTGGGACTCCTACAGTTCCACATGCTATAAGATCAATCTTTATTGGAAACCTCTTGAAATGAGCACTAGGCATCAGCTCACTGTTAGTTTTGATATAGCTTATCAGAGCATCAAGTTATCACGACAGTGCCATGCTGATGAAATCATTTCAACTTATCACAAAAGAGCCTCTTCACAACACCACTTTTAGCCCTGAATGGTGTCCACTCTTACTGCAGATTATTCTGGAAGGTGGAGATGTCTCAAATGTAAACAGTTGATGAAGCTAGTTATCTTACACTTCTACTTTGCAGTAAACTCACTTGTAGCTTACTTCACTTACAGGATGCTGCATTTTGTCTGCCACACAAATAAGTAATGTTATAAACAAGTTTCAGTGCCAGTACGATGCCAGGTACACAAACTTAATGTCCCAATGACTGGCAGACTGTATCAAACAGCAGGCAGCTACCAATCACATTTGACCAGCCCATGCTGGCAAGCCTCAGAACACCATGTTCAACATTAGGTGCGATTCTGCTATTGGATAACATTAACAAATCTGGACTACGCCAAGAATTACACCAGAAAAATCAATTTATCAGTCAGACTCAGTGTGATGCATTACATGCCAAGTTTTTTTAAAAAAAAAACTCGTGGGATTTTGGTGTCGCTGACTGGCCAGCATTTATTGCCTGCTCCTAGTTGCCCTCGAGAAGGTGGTGGTGAGCTGCCTTCTTGAAGTTCTTGAGTTACACATTAATACAAGACTTTGTTTTATGTTGGCAAAAGGAATTTGCATATACTTTGTACTTTTTTCATTGGGGGTAAAGAAAAAAGGTCATGTTGAATCCCAATCTTTACTGCATCCAGAGCCAACTTGCCTGGTCTAACAACTACAAGTGACAGTTTCTGCTAAACCACTAATGAGACTACCAGTCAACACCCTCATGTTGTATGAATTGGTGTCTTTTTTAAAAAAGAAATCAAGTTGGTTCCTTCATCCTAATCCTAGTGATTGTAAATTGAAGGGTGTTGTCTCTCAGTTAAATCATATTTAAGTACAAACCTACTAAGCAATTATCTATCACAATTGGAAACCAGTGTGTTGCATCACAGCACTGCAAAAACAATGTGATATTGAAAGGGAGAGAGATTACAACCTGAAAGCCCAATAAAAGAACCTGAAAATGGCTCAAATTTCTTTAAAAATGATCTACAACATTAAGGTTATTCTCATGCCTTTAGTCTCTACACATTGACTAAAAGCCCAAGCATATTTGAGTAATTATCTCAGCTAATGTTTTATCCAGTTGTATTCATTACTAGGCAAGAAAACATTAACCAATTGAGCTAACTTCTTAAGTGGTGCTGATATCAAGCCACAGATTTAATCCCCTGATGTGTGGTTAAATAGCTCAACTGCCTTCTGGTATTGCTAAAGGATTAGAACACCTAAAAAGTTAAGCTCCCTTTTCTCACTGTAGATTTCCAGTATTTTCACTTTGTTACTTCAGCATCATTTCACATTAGGGCAGAATTAGTTTGAGATGTATTTGAAACAAAAATACCATTGAGAAATGTAGGGACATAAGAAATAAGAGTGGGACATTCAACCCCAAAGCCATCTACAAGATCATAGCTGATCTTCCCAAGCCTCAACTCCTCTTTTGTGCTAGCTCCTTCTAGTGCTCAACTCCCTTGTATTTCAAAAATCTACCTTCTCTTCAACGACTTTCAGTGATCTAGCCTTCGCAACTCTGGGATACAGAATTCTCAAAAAACAAGAATATTTTCATCTCAGGTTTATCTCAAACCTTTCATCGCAAACCTTTTCAACTCAGGTTTAAACAAGTTTCTTCTTATTCTGCAAGGATCTAGAATATCTTTCCTTAAATACAAGGACCAAAATTGTACACAAAACTCCATATGCAGCCTCACCAACATCTTTACAGTTGTAACAACACTTCCTCATTATTAAACTCCACAAATCCCAAAAGAGGGTACCAACAGGTAGTTCTGGCTGCTTGCACAGTCCATAATATTGACTACAAAGTTCCTGCCTAAATCCCACAGCATTTTTTAATTAATTTTATCTCAGTAAATGTCTTTCCAGGTAAGATGAACAAGACTGATTACTTGTCAAGAAAAAAACCTGAAGTTATATTGCTACGTTAACAGGTTCTAAACTAACCACAGGAATAACAAACATAGCAAATAGTGAATACAGATAAGCAGTGTCTGTTATGGCAGTTGATCAAATGGTCTGTATCATTGTTTTTGCTCCACGTGCCTTTTTCCACTTTTTCATTAATCGTAAGCAGATCTTTCTATTTCTTCTTCCCTGGTATGTTTATCTTGCCTCCCCTTAAATGCCTTTCACCTCAATCATTCCCAGGATAAAGAAAATCCTTCTGAATTTATTGGGAACTAAATTTATGTTTATGGCTTTAAATTTAATCAATTTTTTTTGTGTTGACAGTGCTTAATTTCAATACACAGTACCTTTATTTTTGTGCAATTACACACAGCATCTTAAAGCCCTAAATTGTGAGCCAACTGAGTGGCATCTTCATGAACACCATGCAGTCGTGCACATGCGTGAATTAGAGAAAATGTTATTTATGGCCTTTTTTTTGTTTCCACTATAAATGGAAACATCCTTGATGTCTATCCTATCAAATCATTCTCAAAGGTCTTAATTTGGTCACCCCTCATCCTTGCCAAGCTGTCCAATCTTTCCTGATTGCTCACAGTTCTGGTATCATCATTGCAATCTTCTTCTTCGCTTTTTAAAAAATAAACTGTTCCTTTCTTGTAAGCAGAAAACAATACTACGACAACTTTAGGAATATTTGAAAAACCCCAAAATCCCTATTCTCAATTTCAATCTCAACAATTTCACAGAAAAGGCTGATATTAATCTAGAGTTCATCTTAGAAAGTCTGTCCTTAATCTTACCTCATCCTTTCCCATCAGGATCTTTGTGCTAAATGTGGGCTTGCTGATCTGATTTGACACACAATGTGGCACAACAGAGATCAATGTTCCCATTTTGCCATACTGCGTAACCACCACAAAGACGTAATCACTGAACACTGTGCACACAACCTCAGTCAGGATTCCATGAACAGTTTCTGTAGTCTGTTTGGACCGTATAATACTTTCTGCTGCCATAAGTATCCTCTCAGATTGATTCAGTTTCTGATTAATTCAAGAACACAGATTCTAGAATCATCACACTGAGGCTTTATCTAAATTGAAGAGAAAAGATAAAAAAGTCAAATGAAGGCATTTCCAAAAAGGTCATAACATTTCTAACTCAGTTGCATTTTACTCATCATTTATTCATAATGACTAATATAATTAGAGCTCCATAAAACAGAGTTTGCATGCTCCAAATTTGACATTGTACTCTTGCAGATTGCAAAAAACAATGCCATAGAAATTAGCAGAGAAAAAAAACACACTTTGGCTTCATAAGTCAGTCTTCCAGCACCAGACTTTTTTTCCTTACAAGTAATACATATTCTTTGCCCCTTGAGGCAATTATGGCCTCAAAATCCTTTCCAAAGACTTGAGCACTGAACACAGTATCAGTGAGCATAGTTGCCTGCCAAGCAGTTGACCCACGTAACTCCAGTTTAAATCCAAGTAGAAATAAAGATACAGCCTTATTAACCAGGCAAGGAATGTTGTCCCCACTCGTTGGGGAAAGTGGATGCAGCTGCAGCTGCCACTTCAACAAAGTTACAATCTGCATCATCAGGTGGACGTAGGTAACCCAATTGTACTATTTTGAATAACAGGAAAATTATTCATCACTGTCTTCACCAAAGTTTATCCCTCAGATTAACAGCCTGTTTTCATACCATCTGGTCATTGTCAGATTGGCATGTGATAACACGTGTGTGCACAAATTGTCTGCTGGATTTCCTACCTTACAACATTGACAGTATGTCCAAAAACAAATGAAGCATCACGTTTCTCTCCACAGAGACTGTTTATTTCCAGCATTTTTCATTTTTTTTAAAAAACAAGGTGCCGGATTAGTTAAAGTGCTTGAAATATCCCGAGATCATCAAAATGTAACATTTAAACTTTCGAAAGCTCTCCCTTTGTAGAAACAGAAACTGTTAAGAGTTCTGAAACACCCTACTTCACAGTCCACAGTCTTAGAAATTTTACAACACGGGAAGATTCTCATTGTGTCAGCACCGATAAACACCTATTACAATCCCTGGGTCAGATTCCTGGAAACCCCCTAACATTATACGTGCATACCTACAGCATATGGACTACATCAGCTCACCGGTTTCCTCACTGAAAATTAGGAATGGGAAGTATATACTGAAGGTCACGTGGAATGAAAGAATAAAAAGCTGAAAGATGAATCAGTTTTGTCCCCGCCCCACTCCAAAACCCCCTGATATTCCCGCTATGCCTTTCCAGAACATTCTGTTTTACACTCTCTGACCGAGGTTCCATGAACGCTGCAACCGGTGAAGGGGAACCAATTTACTATTCATCGCCCCGGCCCTTTAAGGCTTCCCTGCTGCTGACCTATCGATCTAGAAGGAGGTCAGAGAGCTCACATTGACAGAAAACCTCACAGCACTGGACCAACTCCCCGGGAAATCCGAAAACCGATCGCAGGCCAGGGCAACTGCGCATGCTCACAACCGGAAGGAGCGTCCCGCCCATTCTGCGCATGCTCAACGGCACCCGCCCGGTTCCATCCCCACCCCCCAAAACGCGACTTTCAACCGTCACCCGGTGAAATGGGAGCGTTCTATCACTCATGTGACTCGGCAAATGTTGTCTGTCTCATACGCTGCAGGCAAGGATGCCTCGGGGTATGGCATATTGGCGATACCGTGTAGACGCTACGACAACGGTTGGATGGACACTGCGGGACAATCGCCAGACGGGGATGTTCTTTCCCTGTTGGGGGGTACACTTCAGCCGTCAAGGGCATTCAGCCACCAACCTTCGGGTAAGTGTCCTCCTTTATGGAGGACTCTGAGATATACAACAATGCAGAATCTCTAAGCAGACACTGATAGCCAAGTTCTGTACCCCTGAAGACAGCCTCAACCCCTGATCTTGGGTTCAAGGTCAATCCAGGGTGTAGCTAGAGGAGCACAGTAGTTCAGACAGCATCAAAGGAGCAATAAAGTCGATGTTTCAGGTCGGGACCCTTCACCTGACCCAAAACATTGACTTTCCTGCTCCTCTGATGCTACTTGACCTGCTGTGCTCCTCTAGCTACACACTGTATTGACTCTGACTCCCAACATCTGCAGTTTTGCTACTTGGGTTCATGTTACCCTACAGGTGACCCCACCACACTTCTGTATAAGTAAAATCTTCCTTACTTTCCTGTTTTGACAGCATTACCTTGATAAATTTTTATGATCTCTCTACCTTAATTAGTTGGTAGAGTTTTGAATTACTTATTACACTCTGTCACACACACCCACTCTTTCACACATCCACACGTACACACACACTCACACACACACACACACCCACTCACTCATTCTCACTCATGCATACTGTCACACACACACATTTTCTCACACACATAAATCTATGGGATATATCATTTCATCCAAGATGTTTGGTTTATTTGCAGATAGATTCTATTTTGTTCAAAAACCACACAATTTGTAGTCACAGTCAGTGTGGCATCTTATAAATTCCTGCTTTCGGAATAAAACCAGCCTGATTCCAGGTTAAAACTCTGAGACAGGTTCTGAACAAGACCACATACCGACAATGCAGTGTCTGAGCTGAGATGTCACCTTTTGTATATTTCTATCACTCTGCCTGATTGTCATGACAGCACAACACTGACATTGACTTTATAAACACTTTACTCACCATCTTACACTCTTGGTCACCTGTAGAGACTTATTATTTGACGCTCCAGTCACCAATTGAATGATCTTTTGATCTCTCTGCCTATAAACTCTGTATCTGTGTGTTCTCTTTTCTCACTGCACCTGATGAAGGGGCTGCGCTCCAAAAGCTTGTGTGATTTCAAATAAACCTGTTGGACTATTACCTGGTGTCAAGTGACTTCTGACTTTATCCAACCCAGTCCAACACTGGCACCTCCACATCATGTTTTATCAATAACATGCCTTCATAAAGAACCTTCCAAGTAATAAAACCTCCCAAAGACTTTTAACCAAAGGTTTATAAGACAGTATTCTAATGTATTATAGCAAATGATCAACAACTCAGTCAAAGGTTTTTAAAGGATTGCCATAAATGTTAAAAGAGGGAGAAAGAGGAAGAGAGGTTAAGGGAGGAGATTCCAGACCTTGGGACCTCGGCACATGAAGACTTGGCTGCTACTGATTCAGACTTGCTCCAGGAGCCAGGTGTGTTCAAGAGGCCAGATCACAACAGTGATGAGACCTTGGGAGCCTGTTTGCTGGAGAAGGTTGCGGAGATGTGGAAGGAGATGTCATGGAGAGACTTGAAAACAAAGATCTTGTCATGATAAAATCAAGGCATTGCTGGACTAAGAGCCAGTGTAGGTGACTAAGTGAACAGGTCTTACTTCAAATTAGTAGAGGGGCAAAGATTCTGGATAAATCTATACTCAAATTTATGGGGGACAGAGAATGGGCGGCTGGCTAGGAATGGAGTAAAAAGTTGAGTCAAGCATTAACAATGGCAAGTTTATTCTTTGTATTCTAAATAAAAACTGAAAGAACTGCAGATGCTGTAAGTCAGAAACAAAAACAGAAATTGCTGGAAAAGCTCAGCAGGTCTGGCAGTATCTGTGGAGAAAAATCAGAGTTAACGTTTTGGGTCCAGAGACTCTTCCACAGAACTGATAGCAGCTAGGAAAATGTTGGGTTTTATGCAGAAGATAGGGTGGGGGAAGGGGATAGAGCCAAAATAGAGGAGAACAGTTGGACAGTCAAAGGAGTGGATAACGATATGGCTGGGAGGGTACATAGCTATTAATGGGCACTGTTAGTGTCTAACAATGGGTTGTGTGTAATAGCAGACCATGTGATAACAAGGCCCGGTGTGTTGGGGGTAGGGGGCAAGGACATGGGAGAGTTCAAGCCCTAACGTTATTGAACTTGATATTGAGTCCAAAAGGTTGCAGGGTCCCCAGGCGGAAAATGAGGTGCTGAGCCTGACCAATTCTTCAGACAAATTGGTGTTATTTACCTTGGACTCCATCAGCAGTGTACTACCACATACCTAGGTGTTCTTATAGGGTAATCAAAGCCTAAAATCAACAATGGGACAATTAAGATAATTCCAACTCCTGTATATCGTCAAGTGAGCAACATTAGAGCAGGAAATGGAGAATTGCAGTGAAAACACCTTCAAATAAAATAAAACAGTTGCATTTGTGAACATTAGTAGGCTCTCTAAGGATATGGGAGAAGAAAATATGACATGGAATGAGGAGGGGAAGGTTCTCAGGTTTTTGCAGGACTTTAGAGAGGTTTGGTTGAGGAATGGGACTGAATTTTGGCAATATTGAGGATCTAATAGTATTAAGGGAGACAATATCATATAACCTTGTGATGGAACTACATATGGGCATATGCAGTTGAATTATTCTACAGCATTTTTAATGCAATATTTTTGGTTGTTTCCTACTCTTTATTTTGCAATTTAAGACTCTTATTTAATATTTCATCCATAGAAACTGAACTCAAGTTACAAGTACTGTCTATGGCTAGCTTGGTTTCGCAGGAGGAAGAGGAATTCTAGTCATCTGGCCCACATGCACTGTAAGGACAAGCATTAGTGGACAATGCACAGTAATAAGGATATGACTTGCAAGCTTTTTCTAAAAAATGTTGCATTATTTTTGAGAGTGGTTGTTGATATTAGAGTAGTCAGGATTGTAGTTCTGGATAGAAAGCTAGTGAGGAACATTAACATCGGGTTGTGAATGTTATTGTCTGGCAATGTAATCCACTAATGGTTTATATTATTCTGGCTAAGTTTGCAGATGATACAAAGATAAGTGGAGGGACAGGCAGTATTAAGGAAGTGGGGAGGCTGCAATAGGATTTAGACAGGTTAGGGAGTGGGCAAAGAAGTGGCAGATGGAATACAACATGGGAAGGTGTGAGGTCATGCATTTTAGTAGGAAGAATAGAAGCACAGACTATTTTCAAAATGGGGAGAAAATTCAGAAATCTGAAGTGAAAAGGATCTTGGGAGGCCTAGTCCAGGATTCTGTTAAGGTAAACTTGCAGATTGAGTTGGTTGTTAGGAAGACAAATACAATGTTGGCATTTATTTCGAGAGGACTAGAATATAAAAGCAGGGATGTATTTCTGGGTCTTTATAAGGTTCTGCTCAGATCACATTTAGTGTATTGTGAGCAGTTTTGGGCCCCATATCTTAGGAAGGATGTACTGGTCCTGGAGCGGGTCCAGAAGAAGTTCATGAGAATGATCCCAGGAATGAAAGGCTTAACATATGATGAATGTTTGAGGACTGTGGGTCTATACTCGATGGCGTTTAAAAGGATGAGGGGGATCTAATTCAAACTTTCAGAATACTGAACAGCCTGGACAGAGAGGACGTTGGGAAGATGTTTCCATTACCAGACTAGGACCTGAGGGCATAGCCTTAGAGTAAAGGGAAGACCCTTTAGAATAGAGATGAGGAGAAACCTCTTCAGCCAGAGAGTGGTGAATCTTTGGAATTCATTGCCACAGAAGGATGCGGAGGCCAAGTCATTGAGTATATTTAAGGCAGAGGTAGATAGGTTCTTGATTGTCAAGGGGATCAAAGGTAATGAGAAGAAAGCAGGAGAATGAGGTTGAGAAAACTATTAGCAATGATTAAATCGCAGAGCAGACTGGATGGGCTGAATGGCCTAATTTTGCTCCTATGTCTTATGGTCTTATGGTCTATATCAATCAGATTTACAGACGAAACACATACGGTCCAAGGGACACAGTGCACTGAACTGTTTGGGTTTTATTTTTGTATAATCCTGGTAGCATTTTCTGAAGATATAAGCAGTTGCACTATGAATGTTCTGCCAATAAAATATGTGTAGATAAGTTTGATAACCTGACAGTGTGTTTCACAAAACAGAATTCCTTGAGAATACGCTATAAAGGAACTGTTGACGCTAATTTGTTATTTTTAGAACCTTGCTAATCCTAACGTAGACACAGTGAGGAAAATAAAGCGAAAGGTTTATAGTTGAGAGAAATTTGACTTCTTCCAGTTGATGGCATTAA